GCAGGAAAAAAAGCTGACTTTAAAGCACACCTCTGATACAGAATGACAACTTATGCTTACAAAATTATTGCCATCTACTCTTTGTTTTATTTACAAATATACCCTTTGCTTTCATACACACAACTCAAGGAAACAGGAGTTGGTGTCCTATAATGCACTTGTAACGGAGAACGAAGTAACTTTTTTTCACTTAATGATTTGACATGCATTTTCTGACCACTCTTCGAGACCAGAAATAATATGTAGGAAAAAGGCAGTCAAACAGGATATAGGCTTAAGGCAAATAATACATTCTTATTATATTAACTTTTACCTCCCAGAACATACTAGCTAAGCTGTTCCTGTTTAGTGTCCTGTGAACTGACATTGGGGGAAAGCGGGTTTATAAATAACACACGCTTTTAGAGCGGTATTTCCCTAACTTTATTAACCTACTTTTGAATTAGCTGAAGATATAATAAGCTCTTTCCTTGAACCAATCCCAAAGGGAAACAACTCAGCAAGACACACACACACACACACAAAAATCTAGTGCATTAGCCAGCACCACTTACTCTGAGGCTGGGCATGAAAAAGGAAACTATTTAACCACATAACTTCACACTGATACACCCCCAGTTTGTCTGGATCTTTACACGTATACATATATTACACATATACATATGCCGTACATATTAATGATTACTTCTATTTATTTCCCTTTACTGTTTACACAGAGGAGCATTTTTTGCTTTCTCTGTAACTCTTCCCCCTTACTTTTCACACAATAGGCAACCAAGGTACTATTTCTCCCGCACAGTGGTGATTTAAACAAAGCAGAAATTGTTTACTCGTATTTATTACCTGCATCCTGACAAATAGCTTATACATATATAAAAATACATATATATTTAAATACATATATATATATATATATGTATTTAAAACATTATTATATCCTTGTGGGCTGATAAGCAGCCGCATTTAAATGAAAAAGCCAAATCCAAAGTGACACAGACATAAACCTTCTTTTTTTTTTTCTTGCCACAGGATTGGAAGCAGTGGTCTCTACATTTGGACAATGCAAAATCAGCCAGTATTTGAGCAAGTAAAGTATAGAATCTTTTCCCGCCAAGTAAACATGTTAAATACGTTGCTCATTAAAGTTTCTACAGAAAATATTACACACATATTGCAGACTTTCATTCAACTATTGACCATTTTGAGTGTGAGGTTTCTTTGCTGAGAGGCTCTGACCTGTTATATGGACTGTTTGACATTGCCCTGTCCAAAAAGCATTTCAGAAGATAAATGTGCTGAGCTTGAATGTTGTCAGAGTAGGCCCATTAAGCAAAATAAATTCTTTCAAGGTTTTCCTCCTTGCTATTTTGAAAGAGACTATCTATACTCACTACTTTGTTTTATGAAGCAGCTAGCTTTGAAAACAAGAGATGGAATGAGACAGAGTGAATACAGAAGCAATGCCCAGCAATATAGAAGGAAATGTGTACATCATGAAATGTTAATTTACTTATGAACTCTTTCATCTCTAGGTAATAGATATCTATTGGCATCTCTGCCAAATACAGAGGAGAACTTACATCCGATTTCTACTTAAAGACCTTTGCAAACTGATAATATTAAACATGAGCAGATCAGCTGTAGCAATAGGAGTTCAACAGCTATTCAAACAGTTTTATTATCTACAAAGCATTTATGGCTTTCTTCTATAGTTGGAGACTGGGGGGGGCGGGGGGGGAGAGAAAGAAAGATACAAACCTGCCCAACATTGTATTAGGTTGTGCAGTAAAGATAGAAGGATCTACAACAAATCTGGTGTTGTCCACTATGAGTGTTACTCGTTCAGAAGTTCTTACATTCCGAGCTCCCTCTTTTCCATTTTCATATACAAATACCATTTCCCCACCAGCCTTGCAGCTCCCGTCTGAACTTGACTGGCTACTGTTTCTGCTGCTGTTCCCCATGCTAACAACAGAACCGTTAGGGGAAGTCTTCTGAGGACGAGGGCTGCTTGGTCGAGATGAACTGTGATCCTTTTCTCGATCTTAAGTGGGGATGAGGTAGAAAGAAAAAAAAACAGGAAATTAAATTACAGATTTACATTAGCTTTACGTGGTTTGTATCTTTCCAGACACAAAACATGTCAACTTGATAAGTTAAGTACAAATTCTTTCAATGAAATCTATTCTAGTTAAACGAGACTTTCAGAAATAACTGTCCATATACGAGATCCTGAAGTTTCTACCACTTAGACATCCAACCCACCTTGTCTGCCCAAAGCCTTTACATGAAAAATTTAGCATTCTATTACTGGAAAAGCAACTCAACATAATATAGAAGCTATGCATCACAGTTGGTGTTTAGTGCTGTAGTTCAAAGAAACAAACCAAGTTCTGTCACAACAACAACAAAAAAAAAAATATCCAAACCCTACCAAGTAAAGGGGAAATGTTCAATTATCTACCTAGAAAAATTAGATTGCTCTCATGATTTGAACTAAATATGAGCAACATGTAGGAATACACACTGCAGACTGAAGGTTATGACCTATCAGAAAAGGATACTCCCAGCCCAGGGCACATGTAAGAAACCTGTATATTGTGGCATCAACAAATAATGCTTTTTATTGTATTCTTTTAGCAACACAGTAATTAAGTTCAAGAATTTTAATCCTAAAATGCTACAGATCTGAACACACCAGAGTGATACTGTCTTGTTGGTGAAGTAACATTCCTGATGCATGGAGTGAGCTGAGATTCTGCTCTTTCATGGGATGAGTCACGAGATCTGTCACTTGATCTGCGTCTGTCCCTTGATCTCTCATGTCCACCACTTGCACCATGGAGGCTCATTTTTGTGTAGTCTATTCCTTTAGCAATACGAGATGAGGTGCTGAAAACAGAAATAAGAGAAACATTCAGCATTTCAAATTCCAGAAACATTATACATTGAAATTGCAAAGGCATTCACACTCCATGTACACGTTTTGAAGATTAATATTATCCACCTCCATTTTCTTTGTCGTACTCATGTTTATATTTACAAACATGAACAATGACTTGGAACATTAAGTAGACAGCAAGAATTACCTGTTTATTGCTATGTGATCTACAGAGACACTGCCTGATCAGTTGAGCCTGCCTGTGAACCTGTATTCACAGAAATCCCTTCCAGAACAGGTATGTCAAATAGAACCAAACATTTTAATTTGATTCTTACTGTTAAACTAAATGTTCTTATCAAATAATGAAATGAAAACTTAGGGTAATTTTTTCTAGTGAAACCTGGTTTGGAAAGCCCTTTTCAGAACACAGGCTTTTAGTACTGACTTTGCTTTTTTTTGCAACTTGCCCTTCGCAAATGTGGTCAGCCTTAAACTAGTTGATAAATCAAGACACACCAGCCACGGGTTTCTTTCTGCACATTCTTTTTAAAGTTTTCAGTTACTCGTAGCAGGAACAATAGTAAGACACCACAACCCAGGCAGCAAACATATGAACTGTATTATTAAAGCCAAGACCTACAGCACTGTCAGTAACAAGTAGGATGTTTGTTTTAAACTAGTAAATTTTAATATAACAGTTTAAGACTTTTTTTTTAGGCTGTGATTGCTATGTTACATTCCTTAAATTAAGATACTGATTACATTCTGCAATTCATTATTAAGCCTACCCACAAAACAAATCAGTTTCAAGATCGAGTAGTCTCACAAACTATCTAAAAATAATATCAACTTGCAACAGCTATTGTTGAATTTTACCAAAAACACTAACACCTTTTACTTGTACTCCTTAAAACAGAAATTTATATATCAGGACAGCACAGGCATATCTATGTCCTTGCATCCCACTGGAATTACTAAATCAGTTCCTTTGCTACCCGCCTTTCAAACATGGGCATGACAAAACTCCTTATTTATAGGTTTAACTGAAGAACTTTCCAAAAACCTCAGCTACTGGATAGAGACAGACGTCTCTTGCACAACTACAAGCTGTGACAAAGAAGGGTCATAATTTCCCACAGGAACCTCAGTGCCCCACTTGCTCGCAGCCTGCAAATCCCACAACTTTTACCAAGAGACCTTAAATATGACTGCTAGGAATGCTGTAAGATTCAAGAACACAAAGAGGTAAGAATAATGACCTAGCCAAGAAAAGCACAACAAATTTTAAAAGCATGAACTGTACAAGCAAGTTGCGCAGAACGTCCTCTTTTTAAGTTGCTTACAAGTAATGACAAAAAAAAAAGTCAAGACTATTCAAAAAAGTAAACATTTAGCATGATGCGTTTCAGCTTCAGGTTTCAGTGACTGATAAGAAGAGGAGCTTAAACCAGAACAAAAGGCTATCATAGATCTCCCGCAGTTTACATTGGCACAAAGTGAGTATTAGCACAATGCAAAGAATATTAAATACACCTCTCGGCTAAGGAACACAAGCTTCTCCCCACCCCATTTGAATGAGGGAAGGATCTCTTATTTGATAAAGCAGAATTTTGGTGCAGAGAAAACCTACTGCAATACTGTTTCCTGCCAAGCTTAAAATATGCTGCAATAAGACATGCATCTTTAGGATGTGAAGTCAGCCAAAGGTCTATTGAATGAGGTAAAAGAACTGCAAGCCTCGCTTATGGCTGGAAATGCTCAGGTTTACAGCCCAAGAATAGAGATGATCCAACCACTTTCATTAAAAGGAAATAGAATTTTCCTCAGGAGTTGCAATGCAGTTCTGAACGTATTAAGATATATAGCATATCAGCATGGCTAATGCGTCTTCTTAGTTGTTTTCCTTCTCTGTTAGAGAAAGGTAAATTCTGTATCATGAAAGTGAAATGTGCAAACATTTGCGAGAGTGAGATCTGCAAACCTCCCTTTGAAGAACATCAACAATTTAGGGAAACCTTTGCACCTTTTCTTCCATGTATGTAAATGTATACAAAGCATAAGCATTTTAATAGGTACAAAATATGCCCAAAACCTATGAGAAATGTAGATTGCAGCCTATAATTAAAATCTAACTTGAAACCAAAGTCTGACCCCTGTTTATACATGATGATACTCATTACTGCTACAGCTAGACTTCCCAAGAAATGGTCACACTCAAAACCAAAACAAAACCACCTCTGTATCCTATCTGCCCCTAAAGGATTTATATTTCCACATCATGGTATGACCACAAAGGGGGTGGGGGTGAGTGTGTGTGTGTGTGTGTGTGTGTGCATGAACTACTCAAACACATGCATAGCAGTCCTGTGACAAAATATCTCAGCAAATCCTAATAAAGCCACATGTGATCAGGCCTTTGTTAAAGCAGCGCTTTGATCCTAGCCCGGATAATATTTATAATCATGCTGTGAGAAACCAGAGTTTTGCAGATGCCACATTTTATAGTATCAAAATGTATGACTCACTATTTCTCAATAGGTAAAGTGCTCTAGTTGCTTTAAATACGGGAAACACGCTAGAAAATGAAACTAAACCACTGTAAGGCTATGCAGGTTTATCATGCATTTTGGCAGAGCAGACATGAATTACCCTTTAACAGAGAAGGCAATTAAAATATGATTCTTAATCCAGAAAACTATCTAAAGCCACATTACCCTCTAAGCAGTGATTCAGAGTTCACACTGAAGTAGGGCGAGCCCTAGTTAATAATCTCTTTACAGGAGTTGAGAAAAACAGGTGCTACGGGAAGTAACACTGACTCAGCTGCCATCACACTTCCTCCTTAGTCACGTCTGAATTAAGGAACACGCCAGGCACGACTGTTTCTGCTATACAATATCAGAACTGGGGCTACTCCTGCCTTGGTGCGTACAGCCAGCAAGCCTGGGAGAAGGGCAGCACACGCAGATTAACATGCCTCCTGCTGCCAGCCACGTCCATCCCTTCGGAGCATGGACACATGAACCACCAATTCAGCACGCCGCACTACGAAAGAGGCAGAGGCTGCCAGCTGGAGGAGGACAGGATCCTTAAATATTAAATCAATTGTTTCTGAAACAGACAGATTAGTAAATAATTTCAAAGAGCTGTTCAAACTGCAGCTGGCCACACCATTCAGTGCTCCGCTTCTACATTTTACCTTCCTCCCTTTAATGTACAGATTAATGCTGTCAGACTGGCACACTATCTATTAGCCAGAAGATGCAAGATACCAGCCAAAATTGCAAGATTTCTGAGAATTCAAGAAGTTTGGCTTGAGACAGCACCATCTGAATCATGAATCTTCACTCCTCTTAACAACAGCCATCTAAAATGTCAGTCTTAAATCTCATCACTGTTGAGTCACAGTACACAAAAAAATAAATGTATTTCTTTGATCTGTTGGATATATACCTGACAAAATCTGAAGTTCCATTTCTTTGACAGCATGTGTACTCAGATAAATACTACCACTGAAATACACCTTTGCTCTACAATAAACAGGACAACTAAAGTAAGTTTAAATCTGAACAAAGAGAAAATAAAGAGGTGGAATCTCACACATCAGAAGAGACAGTCACTGGCTTTACCCTGCAATATTTGACTATGAAAACTGTCTCACTGAGCTAGTCTATCAGCTAGTCTGAAAAATGAGCTACATCTGTGGCCAGTACATATAAAAGACAACCTAGGGCTTACATTTTCCTGTAAAGAGGCTTTAGAAGTTGCAAGCGTTCAAAAAATCTGAAGACATCAGAACTACCAAATAAGACTGATTTTTTTTGATAGAAGGACTTGTAAATAATATAATTTCCCCCCTCCCTCCCAGCAAAGCCACTGGGGACAGGAGGTTGTTTCTGCAGGGAAATGCAAAAACACTTTGCTCCATACCAGCAATGCGAAACTTGTTAGGAGTTACTTTATTTCATGCATTACTAAGACCAAAATATTCACATTCTCCCTAGTTCCATAGTTTTAAAATACTGTTTTCTTAAGTTGTTAACTAAGACTGGCAGTGTGTTCCGTTCAAGAAGTCCTAACATTTTTGTAGAAAATGGAACTTGAACTACAAACCCATCCCCAGTGATTCAGGGAAGCCAAACTGACATTCACTGTGGAGCTCCACAGCTGCGTCGATGCAGCTACCTACCTACACCGATGGAGAAGTGACCAACAAAAGCAGAGCCACCCCATTTGCAAGAACAGGCAAACTGTTAGGAAATATTGTGGATCATAGAAGCATTAGGCAGACCAGATAAAACACCAGTATCTCTCAAACAGCAGTGAAACACTGATAATTAAAAGTGCCAGGAAGCCGTTGGTCTCATGTGGCATCTGGCTGCCACACTATATTAATCTGTAATTTCAGCCTCCAACAGTCAATGGTGCTCTGCACAGTGCATTACTTCAAGGCTCCAAGAAAGCCATTATAGTTTCAGATCTCTATCTCACTCTGAAAAGAAGTATTTGCAATGTCAATTTCCAATTAATTTCCCAGCTGATGACCGCCAGCTGCACACTATGCCGTGGAAACCATGGACAATGACCGAGGCACAACACAAGCTTCTAAGCAGAATTTCCTCCCGCGTGCTTAATAACATATTGCATTTAATTTAAAACTGTAAGAGAAAAAAAAAAAAAAAAAAAAACCACAACATTTTAAACCCACAGCCTCATTCACTAAAGCTGGGAAAAGCCCCATATGTGTAGACCATCTAGTACCCAAAAGTTAATAAAGGAAAGGTAAGAGAGTTTTGCTTTATTAATTACTTTCAGGGGGGGACAGGGATGGGGACACGGAGGGACACATATGACACAACCCAACAACCAACCCTATGAATATACAAACTGATATATTTAGACAATCTTTACAAATTCCAATATACTGTTTTTCCTGGCTCCAAAGGAATATTGGGACACCAGCACTGCACTCATTCAAGCACTTCAGGTCAGTGACAGAATTTATTTT